GCGCGGGAGGGAGGATGGGGACGCAGGGCAGTCCGGTCAAAAGCTACGACTACCTTCTCAAGTTCCTGCTGGTGGGCGACAGCGATGTGGGCAAGGGCGAGATCCTGGAGAGCCTACAGGACGGCGCGGCCGAGTCCCCGTACGCCTACAGCAACGGTAAGGAGGCCCCGCCGCTGGCCTGTCCTCGGGGAGCCGCTCCGTGTCCCCTCCCGGCAGGGGCTCAGGGTACTCGGCAGGGCTCGCCCTGCTGAGCCCTCTCAAGTTCCTGCTGGTGGGCGACAGCGATGTGGGCAAGGGCGAGATCCTGGAGAGCCTACAGGACGGCGCGGCCGAGTCCCCGTACGCCTACAGCAACGGTAAGGAGGCCCCGCCGCTGGCCTGTCCTCGGGGAGCCGCTCCGTGTCCCCTCCCGGCAGGGGCTCAGGGTACTCGGCAGGGCTCGCCCTGCTGAGCCCAGTGCTGCTTGGAGGCGGCGTGAGCACCACGCAGTCCCCACAGCAGTTAGCTGGCCTGGGAGGCGGACTTGATCTGCCACCTCCTGTCACGTAGGGTCTGTAATGAGAACTGCGCCAGCCAGCCATTTGCCCTACCCGGTTAGACTGCAATTAAGAGGCAGGGATCAACGCCTTGCCTTTCTTCATCTCTTCACTGTGGTTAAAGCCTAACACTGTCTGGCAAGGAGCAGGCCTGTGGCAATTTGCAATCTGTTTTCTTTCTCACCATTTTCAACTCTAATGGAGGCCCGAGGCGGGGAGAAAGCAGCTGGATCCTGAGCTTACAGCTTGGCACCTTTAAGTGTCGGCTTGAGGCCCTTTTAGAGGCTAAGGGCTTAATGGGAGGCTGAGATTTTGCTGTGAGCCTTTGGAGAAGGGCTTTCATGACCGAGTAGCTTTGTGGCTGCTGGGTGGCAACTGACCTAGGAAGTGTGTGGAAAAAATGTGCAGGAGCTGGAGGAAGGATGTAAGGGGGGCGCATCCAGTGGTGGAGCTCTCATGAGGTCCCGGTGGAGAACCTATGACAAGGTGTGCCGGCGATGGCCAGGGTTTTCTCACAACCCTGTGGAGTGTGTTCACAGATGGGGCAGGGGGCGGGGGAACGGGTGGTACTCAAAGGCAGGCTTTTCCCTTGAAGTGTTTACTCAGTGCTCAGGGAATCAACACCTTGTTGCACAATAAAATGCATTATTAAATTTTCTTTTAAAATTTCTGGTTGCGTGACTAAAATACACATCACCAGCACTTGTCTGAGCTCCCCTTAATTTACGTATTTAGCAAAGTTATTTTGGCCAAGAAGCAGTGTAGCCAGTTCCACCTCTGCAGTGGGGGCCTTGTCCCAGGCCACACAGGGTGTTTCCGTAGGAGAACCAGGGACTCTGCTTAGAATATGTCATCATCCAGTCTCTTCAAGGACCTTTTGTGCTTCAGGAAGTTCTGTCTTGTCTAACTAATTTTACTTCAAGTCCTTGCGCTCCACACTCTCTGTTGCTTTGTTTCTTGGGCTCTTGTCAGTCCTGTCTGACTGCTCTGAGCATTTGCTCTTTGCTAAATTGCTTGCCTGTGCGCAGCTGAGAGTGTGGACCCAGCTTTTCCCACCCTTTCGATTTGGGACTTGTCAAGATTGGGTTACCTGGACTGGCTGAATGCCCTTCCTGCTGTAACAGCTTCAGCAGTGGGCAGCCGTGCCAGGTTCAGGCTGTGCCACCTCCCGAAGCACATGCTTTCAGCCCTAGAGGAGACACCTGGAAGGGCAAGAAAGAAGGAACTCTGGGTGTGTTTTTAGGTGAGGGAGGAAAAGTGTGAGGCCCAACCGGGGTGGGAGAGGGAGGGCCTTCGTTGGGGCTTTAGCAGGCCCCTTCACCAGCCACTGCCACCTTAATGGACACTTGGCAGCTACTGTTGAGTTGCTTTTCCGTTGGTAGTGTTGCTTCCTGGAGCCCTGCGCCTGGGCTGCTGGTAGTATATGAGAAGAGTGTGAGAGGCTTTGGGCTTCATTAGGGGCAGCAGTATTTTCCTGGGACATAGGTTTGCACTTCTGAGGGTCAACTTAGGCTCCACAGTCAGGTACTGTAGCCGGTGCAGTGAGCATTCAGAGAACACAGAGCCACTAGCTGGGGAGATAGGAACTGCCTTCTGTCCCCTCTGTCAAATTGCAGGGCATTGCCACATTTCCTATGACATGCTGACTGAGTAAAGTGTGGAGACCTGCCTGAGGTAGCAGAGATGTTTGGTCCAGTGTAGGGCCATCTGCCAGAAAACAAGAAGAAAGCCCACTTTTAGACAGGTTCTATGTGCTGTTAGGGCCAGGGCACACTCATAGGTTGCTGTGGGTCCCCCATAGCATTAAGCGGAGAAGGCAGAGTACCTGTCCCCTGTTTCTAGGGTCCTAGAAGTGAAGACATGCACAGTGGGTCTTTGTGGTCAGTGCATTGGCTCACTGACCCCAAGGCCTACTCTTCTTATCAGGGTGAAGTTGGTGGCCTGAGCATACTTCTTTCTGCTCCCCCGAAGGCTTCCTAAAGGAGACTGTTGGGAGTTTTGGAAGCTCTGGAGCCGCTGGTTCTCAGGATTCAGCAAAATGGGAATTTTTCCTTTGAAAAAGTTGTAATATTAAAGGAGTGTTTTTTTTTTTTTTTTCTGATCCTCTTACAAAGGATATACATGTGTTTCTTTTTCCCCTTTGTTGCTAAAAGCTCTCAGCATGTTTCTAGGCTTTTTGTTTTTAGCCTAAACGTTTATGGTTCTTCTGTCTAGGAGCAGATGACACATGGCCTGTGACAGGTGTGTAACTAAACCCTCTTCCTTGGGCCACCCAGATGATTTACCCACATTGAAGTCTTGTCTAGCTTGTTCCTCAGACACGTATGTGAGTGCACGTCGCTCTCACCAGCTTCATAAACATGTGAGTCATCAAGACAGTCTTTTCCAGCACTGGCACCTGAAGTAGTGATGAGCCCTGTGTGCCAACATGCCAACCCTTGCGGGAGCCCACAGTGGCTCTTGGACTCTGGGGATGCTAATGTGCACTGTGCTTATAGGTTTCTGTAGAATTGGAAACCTTCTTCTCAGGTGGTTTACTTTTTTCTTAATACATAGCAGCAATTTTAAGGGAGAGTCTGTGCTCTCCTTGGACAGAGCAGAACACTTTGCATAGAGGTTCTACCAGGCCATCTGCTGGGGAAATATGCTCCAGAGCATAAGCGACAAGGAGTCTGGGTTGTGGAAGCTGGCAGGAAAGTAGAGTGTTCCGCGAGCAGCTTCTGTTCCTGAGTGACTCTGCTCCAAGGCTGTGGGTCCCCAAGGCAGTATGCTGGGTGCACCCTGGTGCATAGCCCACCCCTTTTATCTAGGGTGGTGAAGGTCCTGATCAAGACAGTTGTGTCCTCTGCACCTTCGCTCTCACAGATCTCTATGTTGAGAGTCGATAAGATGCGATATAGTTGATATGACCGCATCTTGAAAGACTTGAAAATAGGAATAACTCCATCTCTCTCTGTTTGCTCATCGGGGGGGTCAGTATTGGAGGGAGCTGCTGAGTATATAGGATGCTCATGTCCTTTGAGTCCGGGGCATGCAGAGAGGGAAGAAGGAGGTCCGATGAGCAGGAGGAGTGAGACAGTTGTGACAGGTATGGATAAAGTCGGGCAAGCGCTGAGGTCTGCCAGTAATATTTGGATCTGCTGGTTCATTCTTTCTTTCTCTCTTTCTTTCTCTCTCTCTCTCTTTCTAAAATATGGGTCTTAATAAGCTTTTAAAGGTTTTCTTTTTTTAATATATTTTTATTGATTTCAGAGAGGAGAGGGAGAGAGAGAGAGAGAAACATCAAGGATGAGAGAGAATCATCAAATGGCTGCCTCCTTCATGCCCCCCACTGGGGATTGAGCCCACAACCCGGGCATGTGCCCTTGACCAGAATCAAAACTGGGACTCTTCAGTCCGCAAGCTGATGCTCTATCCACTGAGCCAAACTGGCTAGGGCCCTACAGGTTATTTCTATGTTAGTACTGTGCCTGTCGGGGGAGGATGCTGTGTGCCTACACCCCTACGGTGCCAGAGTGTGGGCTATGGTCCATGTCAGCGACCCAGCAGCTGGGCCTGAGCTCGCCCTGTCCCCCAGCTCCATGGCTTTTCACTAGACAATTCCAAATGTCTCTTTTCACCGGGCTGCAAGTGGGTTTCAGTCCTCAGTTCAAATTTCAGAGTATATGGTGTCTTCAAACACTTTTCCATACCGTTTTCCTGAGTCAGATGTACCTCTGGCCTGTACACCCTGATGTCTCATCTGGGTCCTCAACAGTAGCATGGGACCTGCACACAAGAGGCACTAACTAGATGTGTGTTCTAAATGAAGGAGCAGCCTGTATGCAGCATCCCCATTCTGACGGGTACCTCACAACCCCTCCCAGTTCCTCTCTCCCTCTGTACTTGGTTGGGTTCTCATGTCTGGCTTTTGCCCATTTTCTGGGCGATTTATTGGGGTTTGCCTTCTCTCTGTCCGATGCCAGGTTCTGAGGTGGGTTCTGAGGTGGGTGTTGGCCTGAGTGATATGTGCTAGGCCCAGGGCTGAGCTCCTCGGCGCTGCTCCTCATCTAGTCTTCACTGCCATCCTGTGATGCAGGTACCATCACCATCTCATTTTACAAATGAGGAACTAAGGCTCAGACAGGCTGAGAACCTACAGCTATCTCAGGCAGCATGAGGCCTGGCACCCCTGTCTTCTTAGTGCTGGCTGTGTGACCCCCTTCTTCAGGAGTCTGGCACTTTGATTGGTGGGAGTGACCTTCTTCTCACTAGGTACTCTTGTGCTCTTGCCCTCACCTCCACCCTGGGCCTGGGCCTGACTCCTCTCTCCGATGACCCTCCTCTCTAGTGCTTCCCTATGCGTTTGGCTTACTTGTTCTCAGTGCATCCCAAACTGAACTCCTTCCTTCTCCTGGTACCTCTGTCCCTGGTCCTGGGGCTGCCTTCTTCCTCTGATCTGGGGCCTAGGACCAGTCACTGAGGCCCATTTTTTCCCTTCACTACATTGCTCCTGCCCTGCTGCCTCCCTCCTGTCTGAATCCAACAGAGCAGCAGAAGCCCGAGAGCTTCCAGGCCAGCCGCCAACCACGGGTTTACAGAGAGGTTTCCAGAAGGCCACAAAGGGCCACACATAGACCCATCTGTGCCTGTCTACCCCTTTGCCAGAGGCACTCACCTGCTGTGATGTAAAGATCAGCCTGCCCTGCCTGGGAGGGTGTCAGGCCTCACGGGGAGAGGAAACAGGTTACCTTATCTGCTTCAGATTATGCTAACTTGGCTGATTTGTAACTTGGTCTGGTGTGGCCTTTCCTAAATTTTCAGAAAACAGTTGAGTAGGC